GGAAAGGATATGATCTTTAGTTAAATTAATTCCTCTATGTAGAGTCTGTTTTTCTTTCCCCTAAGTTTTGTAATTATCTTTAGTTCTCATTCTTGACAACATGAGCTCTTAACATGGAGACTTATATTTTCAATAGATAAATAAATAAAAATCATCTCACTTTTCTTATGTCGAGTTTGCGATCAAAGCCTCATATTGGCTAGATAATTAAGAGAAGATCATGAGTATTAATTATTAAGTGGAGGACAATATATCTCCATCAGTATAACGCCTTTTGGATGAAACTAAAAACGAAGCTATGAAGGTCTATACTTAAAATGGACGACAATATCATACTATATTGTAGAAATATGTGGAGGGTTTTGTGTTGTCCTCCCTAATAAGTGATATCAAAGCAAGAACAAAAGAAATTTGTCAAGTTAAAAAGATATAGTCGATATTGGCTAAATAAGAGACAACACGTCCATCGATATGGAGAAAATCCTTTAATTTGTCCCGAGATGATATGGGTAGTTTCGTCAAAGACCATTTATAAAACAAAAGATGAATTCAAACATAGTAAAGTTAATTATCAACTTAAAGCTAGGTCTGGTATTAGGGTGCAAGAAACTACCAAATTCACTTAGGACAATAACATGAATATATATAATAATATCCTTAGAACGCCCCAAAAGAGATTTATTTTTCCTTGTTTTTAATTTTTAATTTTTCTTTTGGTTAAACTTAAATCAAACAACTTCATATAACACAAACAAAGACAACTTAATTACTACAGAAGAGACCATATTGTATACAAACCACACAAAGATAAAATAATGATACATTATATTGATATATATAGATGCCAATTAATCTCACATTAAAAATATCCTTAATTTTACATTAGTTCTCATTATTCCAAACCCTAATTATGTATGCTTTGATAATATAAGACACCAACCAAACCTCAAACCACACCATCTTTCCATTTGCTTTGGAAAATATATCAAAGGGGAAGTTAGCTCTTGTAGTTATTGCACTTCTCTACCGCCCTTGGTGCTGAAACCCACAACCAAAAAAAATATCCACATGTTAATAATATAGATTATTAGGGCTTTGTTTGGTGAAAGATACAGAAAAAAAAAGACAAATATTCTATGATTAGATTTGAGAATAAAAATATCTATTTTATGATGTCTCTTAATCTTACCAAGTTTGGTGCCCACGAGCATAGCTCGATCAAGCATAGTTCAATTGATGTAGGTATTTATTTCAAATTAAAAGGTCGTGAGTTTGAATCTACACCCCACTTGTTGTACTTGAAAAAGAAATAAGAGAATATTCGAATTCTCTGCATGTTATATATTGAACTTAAAAAAGAAAATTAAGGGAAAAAAAAAGATCTTACCAAGTCCAATGGCTTCCTTTCCTTTCATTATGCGTAGACGCTTGCAAGATTCAACAAACATCCTTGACATTGAAGCACAATTAGTTATAGTATTTTATAAGTTCGGAGGCAAAAAACATAACGTACATTCAAAAATTAAAAACAAATCACAAGTAGAAGTTTATGAAGGACGAGGGTAAATATATGGTTGTATTAAGTTGTGTATCAGAGATTTATAAATGGTTTCTGCAAAGGAAAATGAGAATTACTTACTGCCATGGAACGTCACCAACAAGCATCCAATCGCCATCTTTGTCTTGATATGTTGGAACGTAATCAGAAGCGTTCAAAAGATCTATCAACTTGGTCTCGTTCATGAAATCTTTCATCCCAATGGTGAAGGAGGTGGCAAAGAGTTTGGCGAGGGCATGAGAGAGGTGGTTGTAGCCAGTGCAGATGGCCAAGTCGAGTTTGCGGAGATAAGGCGCGCCATCAAGGCTCACCTTCACAAAGCTGCCACTGCCACTGCCAATATTCTTCTTCTCATCACTAATTTGAATTTCATCCTCTGATCTGCTTCCCTTCAGCTTCAGGCCCAACCTCTTCTTTCTGTGTGATCTTATGGGTGGCCAACCCACTACCTCCCCCCTATAACCCAATCAACGATGTTATTAATTAATAATCATACCACTTTTTTATCTCTAATTAAATATATATTCCAGTAAAAGCAAACATAACTAAACAGCAATTAACATATATTTTTAACCAAGTAAGTTCGATCTCTAAACCTCTTTTATAGGTTGGACAAGTTTGATGTCCTAACAGAATCACGAATACCACAACGTATTCGAGATGGGCTTGAAAAAGGACCTCGAGAAGCCTTACGAAAAAGTAAAAGTAACCAAAATGCGAAGGAAAAACTTTTGTTTAAACATGTAAGGAAAGACACCTATCTGTTTCGTTTACTAGGACCGGCGCCATATATACTGGACTAAAGTCCGATGGAGAAGATTATTGACAATAATTATGATCTCCTTGCTAACCCAAGACGTTTGGAGTGAAATCAAAAGCAAAAGCAAAAGCAAAACAGTTGGATTTGTAATTAATTAACAATTACTTGGGTGGGGGAGGCTTGGCTGGATCCAAGGGCTCAAATGATGATTCTTCCTTGGAAGCTGAAATAGTAAGCTTCAAATGATGATGATGATGATGTGGCATTTTTGTTGTTGTTTCAGTTTCTGTCTCATGGAACCCTCTCTTCCTTGCCACCTGATGATCTCCACTCCCAATAATAATATTTCCTGGCAACCCCAGCCTCAACTCTGTCTCCTCAAACGACATCGTTTCCTTATTTTTCTTTCTCTCTCTGATAACCAACTCTCTCTTGCAGGGAAGCTTGCTGTTGTTGCTGTTTGTTTTGTTGGTTCAAATAATAACGATAAGAATAAAAAAGCGAGCGGAGTACTGTTCGTTGAGAGCAAAGGAAGAAGAAGTACTACGAATATAGTTGCAGCAGCAAAATTAATTATATATGGTATTATACAGATACGTTATTCCTTATTTTAGGGTTTTGACCGATGTTTTTTTAGCCAATGATTATCCCCGTATTTACGGGTTCACCTCTATCTTTTGATGAGTACTATTAAATTTTTAAAGATAATAAAGTAGAAGATACCGTTGAGTATTTAATGTTCTTTTTTTCTTTTAGTACGAGACGGATTGGGAATCCAACTTACAACCTCTGGAGATATATTGTTAAAAAGAAAAATATATATATATATATATATATTTTCTATGTTAAAAATAAATTAAAAGGTTTTTTTAAAAAAAAAGTGCAAGAGGGAATGACGGAATTTAAAAGAGTATTCAAAAAAATAATAAGAATTGGGTATTAGATGAATTTGATTTTTAAAAACATAGAACAGAAAAAAGGTTATCCAAACGAGATGATAGATTACTGTTTTCATGTAATTGAGCATTATATTTAACCCCATTTGGACCACATTATATCCATACAATTTGTCAAAATCATAACAAAAATTCTCTGAAATGACCCAAAAACTCAAACAAGTTTAACCTCATAAATCAATGTTATCTTCATATACCTTATAAGATGCATGAAGTTGATCATGTGGAGAATAAATTTAAATGGAAAAACTTTGGTGCCTGTAATTAATGAATATTAAGCCCACCAAATTGAATGAGATGAGAATAACAATAATTGATATAATGACAGGCGTTGCCCTGTGATGGGTGAGTGGGAGAAAATGTGTGGTTATAGCAAATTTCCAAATTTAAGAATAGGCATGGCCCTTGATAATAACCATAGATAAATCCAAAGGAATTATATTCTTCAAAATCTTCATGCACAGATAGAAGCACTTTTCAGAACTTTAATGTAATATTTTTTACCCTATTTTCATTTTGGACCATTGGAAAAAGGTACCCCAACGATATCATAGTCTTATTTGTGGTACACAATGGACCATTATTAATTTCTCCACCAATTATATCCAACATGTCAAACAAAAATCAATCTAATATACTTTTAATTTGCATGTTACGCCTGCGCTACCATTTCTTTTAGAGAAAAAAAAATACTAATATTAGAAATGGCATCCCAAGTTTATTATTGGTGAGTAATACACGTGAAATTTATCATTTTATTACTATTACCTAGCTAATTAATAGTAATTTTGTATTTAAATATAAATATTTTTCTCTTTCAATTACTCTAATTTTATCTCTCAAAATCTTTAGAAATTTCTCTCTCTCTTCTTACTCTTCTAATTTGTTCTCTCTTTTTCTAAATATTCACAATATTCACCACGTCTTTATAAATTTCAAATAAACTTAAGTAAATCATAATTTGAGTAAAGAATTTAAATGGATGTGGAGAATAGAAGAGTCGAACGAGTGAATTAGAAGGAAAAATAATGAAAGGATTAAGAAAGATAAATGAAGTTCGACGAAGAAAGAGAATTGGTGAAATTTGAAGAGGGGAGTTAAGAATGATAAAATTGTCCTTCAAAATAATAGAGAAAATGAGGAATTTCTTTTTATTGTGCATTTTATATATAGTAGTGTAAGAGATGGAGTATTAAGTATTAACCCACATTATGCTTTTAGAGGAAAATTTCAGAAATAGATTTGACGGTAGTGAGTCGGTCCTCCACACTCGGCCCATAAACATTTTAGTTTATTATACTTTTAGATTTTATTTAATTTAAAATACATTCTTTTTCTATAAATAATAAAATTTATTACTCGTTTTTAATAATTAAAAAGTCACAAAACACAAATTACATGGTTTGAATTTTTTTGTTTTTTCTTATAATTTTTTTTCTTGGAGTACTTCTATTGTTGGTAATAAAAATTATTAGTCAATCATTTATAATTGACTAATCAACATGTACAATTGTTAACGATCAATTTGTAGATATATAATTAGTTCAAAAAATTTATAGATAAATAATTAAATACCTTTTCTTGGAGATAATATATAATTAAATACTTTCCTTAAAAATATATATAAATATAGTTAAATACTTTGCTCTTAATTAATTCTTCTATTTTTAAAAATAAATCCATTATTTAATTCTTAAGAATGTTTATATTTTAAATTATGTGATTTACGATTTACGCCGACTTACGATTATCCCAAATTTAATTTTATATTTCTTCCATACGTTAACCTGTGAATATGGGCCTGGCCCTGGTATCCCCAATAATGGGCTTCATTCCGGGTGATCAGGATTTAATTATGGGCCAAATTTAATTTTATATTTATCTCATAATGGCGAATATGGGCTTGGACCAATACTTGCATCTTCTTTCACTAAACTTATTCTCTACACTGTTACAATTATGCTTCTATTAATAGTGTAACAAAGAAAAAAAGTCTGCTTCAAAAAAAAAACAAAGAAAAAAGGTCCATAAAATTCGATCAAGATAGATCAAGATAGCCAACATGAGCATAGCTCAATGATATAGCATCTTACTTATTTCCTTGAAGTCCAAGATTCTCAATCTTCCATCCCCAAATTTAGTATTTAAAGAAAAAAAGCCGTCTAGGATACACAAGTTGAAAACTTGGAACTAATTCTTCCAAGTCGATGCCCGAGCGGTTAACGGGATGGTCTGTTGTCTTTATGGAGAAATATGATTCCTCGTCACTTCAATTTAATTAAAGTAATAGAAAAGATAAAAGAAAAAGAAAAGCTTTGAACAGAATTCATTGAAAGAAAATACTAGAAAATATTCTCATTACAATAACTTAAACAATGGCAAATACCTTCCAAGAAAATATGAACTCACAGTCTTATTATTCTGTTGAAAGGAAAAAGAAATCTTTGAAAGCCACTAGCAGACATAGAGATGAAAGGAACAGCCTGGTTTATTCCATCAAAAATCTTATTGTGAGAGTGCAGATTTTAGGGATTTGGTGAAGTTTTCTAATTCCTTCAATCCTTCTTCAGGAGACTTGGCTTCACCCAACAGCTTCACTATAGCACTGCCAACGATGACACCATCTGCCCCCCAGCCAGCCACCTATGGACGAACACACCAAGCCAACCATATTATCAAACAAAAACAAACCACGAATAGACCGTTATACGTTTCGGTGTATGATGAAAATTTTTACCTGTTTCACGTGCTCAGGTTTCGAGATACCGAAACCTACTGCTACTGGTTTTTCTGTTACCTGTCACACAAGGCAGAGTGTGAGGCCTATAAGTATAGCTCAGTTTACCAGTACAAATTTGTGGTTACTAAAAGTACATTATAGATGATTATTAAGCAGACATACCTCTTTAATTTCCTCTAGGAGAGTTTGAACCCTATTACTCACTGATGCACGGGCACCGGTGACTCCAACGGAGCTCACCTATAATTGAACGAAACCACATTTCATATTCACAATATGCTGCCACAGAACAGATGACGATCTCTCGTCTCCCGATGGAATTTGGTTATTTCTCTCTAACTTAAAATCGTGAAGAAGAAGGTCCTTTATCTCAAAAATGTCCTCCCAGGAGCCTTTTGGAGAATTTGAGGGAAAATTGAATAGTCCACACACCATATTTAGCAACCACTTTCTTCTATAAATATTTTTTCCTCAGAGGCGACTCAAAAGAAATGTTTTTTTATATAATTTAAAGACATGTGGGGTGGGGATCTGAACCTCTGACCTTTTTTTCTGATGATATATGCTTTAATTAGTTGAGCTATATTAAGACAGGTTGACTCAAAAGAAATAATTTTTTTTATATAACTGGGGGTTGGAGCTTTGCTCCCCTATACCTAAGAGAACCCGTGCCCACCCTGGGGTTCAAATCCGGGAGACATCAAGGATTTGTAGTATTAAGCTTATCAGAAGGTTCGCACTTGAGGCCTCTAAGCCAATATGATCAAGAGACCCCAAGTCCTTGCCAATTGATTTGTACCTTCAGGGCTAAAAGAAATTATTTTTATAACAAAAATTCCCTATACCAAATCCTTTGAAAGAAGAGCTCGTTTCAGTTCTCTCCAGTCAACCAAACGCGGCCTCACTCACTGCCAATATAAATCTTTTCTAAGCTTTCCATTGATGCTTAGTCACAAGAAAAGCAGACATATAGTACGTTTTAGGGAGGTTAGAGCAGAGAGGCTTGACTGAAAATTAATCTCCCTCTTTAAACTTCCAGGTCATCACAGTTTACCTCCACAATCACATTCCTGGTCAAGTTAACGTTCAAAAGCCTAAGAACTTAAAAAGAATGAACTTATCTTCAGAGGTGGAGGAGAAATGAGAATCAAATTGGAGGTGATCTATAATGAGGCTGCTTAACAGTTGAAGGTTTTACTGTAATTTTCTTTTGTTTCCGTTGGCTCTCTTTTTCCCTTGTGCCTAGCCTGTTTTTTGTTCTTCAACTCATCTGAATAAAAAATTTATTATCCTCCTGTCTAATTCCTCTTATTCTGTGATACTGGTAGGACTTAAAATAATTTGAATATTGAATTCAAAGATTAAAGAGAAATAGCTAGTATCAGTGACACCAGAAGCGTTCAATGAGATGAAAGAAGTAAGATCTTATAGCATATAAAGAGATGAAAACAGAAAAGTTCTTACAAGATATATGAATCCCTCCGAAGCTTCCACAATGGCTTTCATCCTATCTTTAGGCGTGGTCGGTGTAGTTAACAGTACCTTTAATTTAACAGTGTAAAAAAATGCATTAAGAACAAGCAATATCTAGAAACAATCAACTCTACCCTTTCTTAGGATTTTGATGAACAAAGCCAAGCGTTGTCACACAAATGGATAATGTTTAACAACTAATCTTATATGATAAAGTCAATATAAAAAGAGCGACTCAATCAATGAATTGGCTATCACTTTCATTCTAGAGACAACAAAAAGAATGCCATTGTGAGAAAAAGAATTCACCAATTCAATATCGTGCTTCACAGCTTCCTTTCTCAAAATTTCAGTCTCCTCAAGAGGAACATCCGGAATAACAAGCCCTGCAAGAAAGTCCAATATAACTACAAATATATTCCCGAATCCAAGTTTCAGAAAGGTTAAACATTTTCCATGGAACTTTGTAAACCAAGAAGTGATAATATATTGGAACTAGCAATACAGTATTCCCATTTTAGAGACAATTCTCAAACATCACCACCCACTTAAGGTTACGGGTAATAATGAAAGTGTAGGCTTATCACACATTTCTTTCGATCGTAGTATTATACCCTTTTGAACAATCATCGCATGCCCAGAGAAAAAAAATCAAAATAAGGATCTTCAAATACCGTGTTATTTAAGCAATGAGATAATAGGTCCAAAACCAAACTTATCTTTTATCACATACTTTAACTTTGTACCCTTCACAGGGATAAAGAAAATGACAATTTAATGATGTTTTCAGTAAATAGAAGTTGGACAGTAATAAACTTATCTATGCAAGTCATGTCATCTTGGAAGTAGGACAGTAATAAATTAGTCAAAAAATTTAACACAAATTGCTATAAAAGATTGTGTGAACTCGTTAATTACCCTGTACACCAGCATCTTTAATTGTCATCATGAAGTTCTCAATGCCACGCTTAAGAATCGGGTTATAGTATGAAAAAAGGGCAATTGGGCAAGATAGTTCAGGAATCACCTGACCAGTCAGTAACAAAACAAAAATATGTCAACCGTAAATTCCATGAGTCATGATTAAACATTTGATTTGATAACGTTGTGCACAAAAATAAACAAATAAAAATGCATTTGAACTCCAACTTTACCAACAAGAAAGTTAAAGGCAAGGTGTAATTTTAGTATACACGCACTCCTACATTGAACAAAAGGAAAATTTGCCACCCCCGTGAAATGCAGCATGCAGCATCTAGAATGATTCCATTTCAGCTAATCTAACAAATTTGCAAATTGTCATCCTATGTGTTAAATGATAGGCTACTTTACCTCATTATATGCAGTTGGCAAAATAACAGATTTGGCATACCTTAAGTCACAATAGAAGTAGCTAATGAAATAATTTTGGCTTATTCATTGTATTCCCTTGAATAATTTCAGACCAAAAGTGGAAATGGAAAAGAAATTGGTATTATTCACAGCAAATCACATGATCAACAATATTACCTCCTTCAGCATAGAAATTATTGCACTAAAGTTTGTCCCCCTAGCCAAGGACCGAGTAGCTGCAGCCTACAGAAAACCATTCATAAAGTAATTGAATAAGGAACAATAGACTAAAAATGGAGAAATTAAGAGAGAGAGAGAGAGAGGAAACCTGTATAACAGGGCCATCTGCCAAGGGATCCGAATACGGAACACCAAGTTCAATTATATCTGATCCATAAGTGGAAAGAACCTTCAACGCTTCAGCCGTGGTAGAAAGATCAGGATCACCAGCAGTGATGTAGGGGATGAATGCAACCTTTAAAACAAGATTCATTTAGGACAGCATTGCTCAGTGAAAAAAAAAAATCCCATCCCATCGTTTGAAGTAGACCACAAACTAGCATCCAAAACTCTAACCCTTCTCATGATCAATCCCAAATAAGTATTAGGCGAAAGAACTTGGATTAAGGGTGGATGCCTTCCAGAAAAAAGATTCAGTTCAGCATTTTTTTAAGCACTTTTGGGAAAAACCAATTGAAAGGCCATCTAAAAGAGCATTTTATAATTTCTCAAACTCCTTTCAATTATCGAACCTTTCAAAAAGCGTTCAAAAACACTTTGACCACTCTTTAAAATTCTATCCAAACACCACCAAATTTTTTTTGTTTAAAGACATTTTTAATTCTCCATAACTCATAAGCACTTTAAAATGCATACCAAACACATGCTAAGCATCCAATTAGAAGTTTTAACCCAGTAAAAACTTGGATTTAATAGATTTGAGTGAAGTGTGGACTCTTGACAGCATCACAATGAAACCAAGATGCAGAAGTGCAATTCAACGAAACAAGGACAAATACAAACAAACAGTAAGTAAAGAAAAAAAAATTAGCGATGGTAAAAGGTAGGAGGACACATTTACCTTGCCTTGTTCCTTCAACTTGTTAAATGTTTCGGACAGTCCAACAGCACGGGAGGCTGTAATGGCAGCCATTGGAGCGAACCGCTTGGTTTGGAATACTGAAATCTTACAAGTATGAGGGGGAAAGATGAGCGGAGTAGTGGGTATTTTGTTGAAGCGAAGTAACCTCGAAGAATTGAAAGCAATGTCCATTGAGATTGGGTTCGCTCGCTGAGTTCAAAGTTCCAAAACAAGAGACTAGAGAGGATTTTGGTGGAATTTTGGATTGCAAGTGGGATTCTCTCCGATTAAAGACAAGTTAGTTCAAAAACTGCTCAAATTCAAATATGGAAAGAAAATGAATTTTACCTTGTATTTAACCCTAAGCAGTTCAGTTTTGATTTTCAACGGCCGCAGTTTTCAAAACAGGAAGGCAGCTCGCATTGGGGCGATCCTCGTTTTGTTCGAAAACAAGCATATAGCGATTGGACAATCACTGTTCTGTTGATTTTTCTCGAGTTTACAAGAAACGGAGTAGAAAAATTGGCGGCCGAATGCTTGTTTTGATGAGCCTAATTTCGGTTTTTTGTTTGGATATGACAAATACATAATTTCCAATTTATTTTATTCTTTAGGTAAATAGAATTTTATTGTTATCTCGTGAATTATTTTTTATTTTAGACGTGGTTTTTACATTCTGTAGTATGTGATAGAGGTGCGTATTGAATTATGGACCTTGAAATGCCATACTTAGAAGTCATTTGAATATAATTTATAACTTATTTTGGTTTACAAACTGTTGATCGAAAAATTTTGACCTTTTTAAATTACCAATCTACAATAAATAAATAAATTTAATTCATTTATTGAATATCTAATAAACAGATGAGAAAGTCATGATATGATTGTAAAGAAGTTACGAAGAAAATGGCAAAGAAAGAAAGAGCGAGAAGTGAAGAGGATTGGAGGAGGGGAGGGGGAGGAACAGTGAGCAAGAGCGTGGAAGAGAAAAAGATTACAGGCAATATAAAAATAATATAAAATTACACAATGTTTTAAATGGTTGTTAAATTTTATTTAAATATAAAATCTTAAAATAAATTAATTTAACTAATTACGTTTTAGTTATATTTAGTTTAAAATCTCTCCCCTGCATATCTGCCATCTAGCATGGTGGTCCACTTTTGTTAGGTGTATAATACTTTTAGAAATAGTTGAAGAAAAAACAATATTAAAAAAATCCAATTCTAATTAACCCCACTTGAATTTCATGCCTTATTCATGTGCCTTTTAGTTATAAATTTTAGGGGTATGAGTGCTTGAATCGACCTGATGAACTGAACCACTAAACCAGTTCAGTTCGGGTTTGATTTGATTATAATTAAAGTCGGTTCGATTCGACAAAATCGATGTTTAAAATGCGTTGCCCTAATCTTTCTTCACAAACAAAAACCGATGCCTCAACGTTGGCACTACTCGAAATAGATCCACAGTGACGGTGACAAAACAAATTCATGCGTCTCTGATTTTGACCCGTTCTTTTCTGGGACAAAGTTTTAAAATAATCTAGTTTTATTTGATTTCCGTACAAACGTGACGCGTACATTGTATGCAACTTCAACCTTTTTATTTATTTATGTTATTTTATTTCTATTTTAATTTTTTATATTGTTATTTTATTAATATTGTGAAATTCGAGATGTGATTAATTTTTTTACTTTTTTGTTATTATATTTTAAATTTTGATTAAAATGTCATTTAAAGTCCGTTGACTCTTGAGGTTGAACAAGAGCACTAGACTGTCGAAACAATGAAATTTTAAAATTATATTAAAACCAATTCGATGATTAAAATGTCCTTTAGCTTCTTGTGCTTCATATTCGTATGTTCTATAAAATAACATTTAATTTTAATATAAACTAAATCGATAAAAATTTATTAAATTAATAAAAATAAATAAAAGTCAAGGTATAAAGAGGCCGTTTTTGAATCTGGGGTATGGATAATTAGGGTTTTTTTTTTTGTTTTATAATTATTTTGTTTTAAATTATTGCATTACAAGAAGATGCCCATCATGTTGTAGGTGATGCATGATCTATTTTCCAAATATGGAGAAAATTAAGAATATACAATTTAGTCGTTTTCTTGAATCCTGATTTTTTAAAATAAAATTTAAAAAAAAATGAAAGGGGTGTGGGTGGGAAGTCGCAACCCTTCTAAATTCAAAATAAAAAAAAAGGAACAAAGGAACAAAGGGACGTGGCCGGACTTCCAAATTCAACATAATAAAAAAGAAACAAATTGCCCGTCAGCTGGCTCCACTGGAGCCGTGTCAAGGAGAAGTCACGGCCAATGACTGCAACTTTACATTAGTGGCTACCCATAACGGCGATTTACGATGAAATTGCAACCCACTTGGTCAAATCACAGTCCATCCCTGCAATTTATCTATCCTATTTTTATAATTACTTTGAAACCTTTGTCGTTTGTTTTTAAAAAATAATCAAATATCATTTGTTTTTAAAAATAATAATTTTAAAAATGGGTATTCTGGAGTTGGTTGGTTTTCATTTTCATTTGGAAAGAAATGGAAAGAGAAGATGAAAATGGAGGAGGGTTTTGATTTCTATCACTTCTTTATTTTGAAGTGGGTCCTATGGATGTTTTCTACTGTAATTTGAAGGTGGATTTTGATTTGTAAGATTTGAAGGTCGGTTTTGAAAAGAAGAAAAAAGGAGGAAAAATCTTTGTAACTTGAAGGTGGGTTTTGATTTCTACCTTTTCTTTATTTTGAAAAGAAGAAAGAGGAAAAATCTTTTTGTTTCAAAGTCTTTCCGGGCTTTCGAGAAATAAATTGAGAAACTATGAAAAAAAATCTCCCTACGATTGAAGGTGATAATTTCTTGGCTTCTTTGAACGGCGAGAGAGAAAAAAAAGCACGAAGTCCAACCCGACTAGTTTCGACCCGAACAGAACACAAACCAAACATTTTCGGGTCAGGTCGGTTTTGTAAACCGACCGACTTACACCCCTAATAAATTTAATACTGTTTTAAAAAATTATTACCAAAAATTATTGCAAAACAAAATAACTACTTAAAATTATTGCAAAATAAAACAATATATCTTTTTTGAAATAAACAAAATAAAATAATATGATACAGACCAACCGTTAAAAAATGATTCTCGCACGAATTATAAAATACAGGTCAAAGAAATACACTCCTTCATCCCATTTTTTTTTTTAACTGATTTTGTACATTTTGGTACAATGCCGTTGAATTTCTGCTAATTTAATTCATATGTTCAAATATTAGAGTAAAGATTGAAGCTTTTTTTCTATTTTTATAAACTGATTTTGTATATTTTGGTGCAATGCTCGATTCCGTTTATGCAAATTTAATTCTTTTTTTTTTTGGCCAAATTCTGCGAATTTAATTCATATGTTAAAAAATTGGAGTAAAAATTGATATTTCCCCTAAATTATATTAGGGTGCAAAACAATCCTAATATCTAACGATAAATAATAAATAATTTCTAACAATAACATACCTAATGTAAAATTTGCTTATCAAAAGGAAGTCCTAGCGAAGCGAACCTCACGGCCACCAACGTTAATTTTCTTCGTACCTTATTTAAATTGACATTTGCTTACAATTTCTGGCATTCCATTTTTTTAATTTAAATATATTTACACCTAATTTATTTGTCAAGTCATCGTAATGTCTAAAGGCATTCCTTTTTCAATTGAAAACTTGTAGACAAAGTTTACTCTTTCCTTGTGAAGGTAGAGCGTCGAACTGACAACTAATTAAGTTAATTTCAGATTGACAATTATTTTATTTTGTTAAATAAATTAGTACAAGAAGAAAGAGATCCCTTAAAGAAATAAACTTTTTTATTTTATAGGTACTCTTTAGAAGAAAGCTATCTCATACTCTTAATTCTCTTCACTTTATTTTCCCCTGCCTAATACGTACAAACATCTCACTTTATCCTTCGAACCCAAATGAACAATCTATCCTTTCAGCCCAATATGTACAAACATCTTGCTTTATACTTCAAGCCCAAATAAATAAATAGATTGTTTTAGATCCCTCCAGACACTTCTTAATCTATCTTTTATCCAAAAATTCTTCTTAATCTATCATTGTTCAAAGGAATTCAGCTTAAGATATTTCTAAAACATCTTTTCTTTAAATATTTATTTAATCTAGAAAGTCTAGTTATTACATTTAAAAGAAAAGAAATACGTGGAACCCCCAAGAAATTTTTACAGCCATCTCTAAAAACTCTTTGACACTGCATAATCTAAAATAAAAAGGTGGCGTATAACTTCCTTATTCACGTTTAAAGGATGATGAGTTCCCCACTTAAATTGAGGGAGAATACAACATCTTAATCAACTAACAATAACTAATAGTTAGCTAACTTCTAACTGATTAGAAATTGCAATGAACCCACCTTTTCCATGGTTGATCTTGAACTAAAAAAAATCTCAAGAGAACATTTTCAAGGCACATCTGTACTTTAATTTTCAAAACTATTCCTAATTAGAATTGTATCATAAATTTCTAACGGGTCTTAATAACCCTTCCATAAGGATCTAATACTATAAGGAAATCGTTTGAACATGACCAAAACAAGATGATAAATAAAGTGTTTTAAATTCAAAAGACGGATATTTTAAAAATAGTTTTAGGCTAACTTATGATATTTTAGAAAATATTTATTTAAAACATTGTGTCCCTAAATTTTGGTGTGCTACAGTATGAAAAGACTACATTTGAGATGCCATCATGCAAGAGGGTGGAGTTGTGTGGGGGAGYAGAACATGAAATTGAATAGCACAAGCAAAACATATTGACTTCCATGGCCACAAGTAGAGGAAACCAATTACGTTTTACCTTTGATTTGCTTTGCCTACCAAAAGGAGCAGAATCCCTATGTCTAAAAAGAATATGCACCCTGCCCCATTTCCAATAAAGCTCTCTTTAACATTTCATCACATGCATATACTTACAATTTTAATTAAGCAAATATGAAAGAGTAAGCAAGATGATCAAGTTGGGTCTTTTCAGGTAAATTTCTGTGCTTATTTTTATACCTATTTTACCTGAATGTCCAGAATCATCATAAACATCTTCCCATCAAATCAAATTAATTAAGAAGCAGGAAATTTAGAAGCAAAGAAATATAATATAATTTCTCTCTCTTTTTTTTGTTGGGTGAAAAGGAACGGGTGCTACCTTTACAATGTTAGCAAGTAACCTACTATTAAGTATTATACTTTATATAATCGAGAAAAAGTCATACCCGATATTGACTCTGGATCTCTGCTTTTCTTTGCTTTGCTTTCCTTCTTTTTAAGATATTCCTGTAATAGGACATCAAAATAACGCGAGTATTGAAGGCTTATCGGATAATTACTTTATTTATAAAGAAAAATGAAACAAGCTTGAATATCGCTTCACCCCAAAAGGATAAAATTTGATTATGAATTCCAAAATAACACTTGAACCTTCTGCAGCAGTGGTTGATGAGAGGATGTGGTTCTCCTGGCGCCATGGAACAATCTAATGTTCAAGTAAGTACTAAGCATTACTTTTTATACAACCAAATTCGTTTCTAGAAGTCTAATTCAGGACCCACTGTATATTTTCTAAATGGATGAGATACGACATAATAGAATCAATCCATTAATACTGTTAAAATAACTCAGGTTTTAATTGGAGAGAGAGGGAAAAAAAGGCCAGAGAAGAATAATCTGGGGCAATTTTCAAGATAGAACGTGAGCTGATTCTGATGGTGAAAAATAGTGGAAACGACAATTTTAAAACATAAGCTGGAAATGGAGAGAATTTCAACTTAAAAGCGGGATCTTCCAAATAAGTTTGTGTTCTAATTCTATATTTTGGTATGGTAATCCTGCGATTAATAAACTATTCGACTTAATCTAAGGGTTCATAAGACACATTATTTAATCCTTTTCAACAGCTTTTCCAAAAGTTGGATTATTTTGAAACACAATCTGTTTAGACTCGAGGAAGCAAAAGAAGTTATATTCATTAATTATGGAAGTGGGCAGCCAGAAACAACCTACCCAAGGTCCCAAGTACCCACTCAAAACAGCGAGGGAGGGAGTTAAAAAGTAAATATAATGAGAGTTTTGAGTTTTTAAAAGCAACCAGTATTTGTTAAAAAAAAGCAAAAGAAAATTGTGCACCAGAATTTCATTTAAGCAAAAGATTTATAAGGGAAAGAAGCTAATAAATGTAAAACCACCCACCACTCCATGGTACTTTTTTTTTTTGCTTTTTTCGGCCAAAATGGAACTCCTATTTCGTAGCCCCACACCCACCTTCCTCTCCTTGTTTGCTTCCACAAATATGATGTAAGATTCTTAAACTATGGGGAGAGGGAAGTATGGAGTTGAAGGCCCACATGCTGAACTGTGGATTCTACCCCATATGCAGTTACCAACCACAGATTGATCGTATACAGCTCCCCTGGGATAAAAACATATCCAAACCATGCCCAAAATCATGAATTTCAGAATAGYAGAAAGCTATACTGAATTGAACCAAATTTGGTTATCTGAACCATTTTTTTTCTTATCTGCACGGGGCATTTAAACAAGGCTAATATCTTCCACACATCCAGCCCAGGAAAATCGTTTTCAAAATCAACAAGCTTGGATAAATGTTAATGAACTACTAATAAAATATTATAGACACCAGAGATTTCAGTAGAAATTAGGTATACAGTCTCAAAAAATCAGGGGTTGGAATCATCATTGTATCACCATCCTCGCATTGCAGGAGGATGGAAAGAATATGGATATGTCAGAGGGGCCATTTTATCTTTATCATAAAAGGGAAAGAGGAAGAATTATTTACTCATTTCACGGAGCTCGAGACACCAATACTTTATGTAATCTTCTTCAATCATAAAGTTAGTTCCTGCCATCCCCAAGAACAAAACAAGCATTTCAGTGTTAGAGTATCAAAACATTATTCCCTGAAAAGAAAAATCATTGAAGAAAAACTGCAGTGAGTTGCTTCTGTACCTTTACCTTCACTGTTTCCAGCTGCACCTTCACTTAAATCTGGATGATGATGGCAATACATGGCAGAAGATGGATGCAAGCAGAAACCAGATCATCTGTCCAGGACCAGGAGAGTGATTTTTTTCCCCTCTTTTTATGGGGGAGGGAGGGGGGTGTTGAAGAAAAAGGCTCTTTACAAACTTAATAGCTGTTAACTATTCATGTTTTCAAATTTTATTGATTTGAGTAATATCCAAACCCTTACACAAAAACCAGAAGGGGATTTGAAGGTTAACACCATACATAGGTTGTATATAACTATTTGTTTATACGGTAGTCAAAAACCAAAGAAGGAGAGAAGAAACAAAACAAAAAATTTCATGGCTCGTCTTCAATAACCGATGCCAAACCAGTTACGATCTTAAGATTTCTAGCCCCAAGCGATGAGCTTTTTGGCTTAACCTCCGGAGGCTTCCATTCTTTCACAGTGTCCTCCTCAACACCAATGGTTACCGATGGCCCCAAGTCTACCTCTCCAAACTCGTTACGATCCACCGATTTCTCGGCCACTTGACGGGGCTCAAGTTGGAAGTTTTCAAGGGGTTGCTTTGACTCAGAATTTGGACCCAAAATCGACAAGGATGACGCACGAATATGAGGAGAGAGCCACTTCGCTTTGACATACTCGGCTTTTCGCCATGGGGGAACAGGCATCCCCTTCTTTTTTAAGCTCTGTTTTGCAGCCTCTGATACGACGGATACGATCCTCTGGAGCCGACCAGGCTTGCCGACGTAGATAAAAGGAACAAGTTGGAGGATTGTTCTGTAACTTTTGGTTGACCGCGCAATTTCAAATTCTGATCGGAAGTCGACGTCTATCAGTAAGCGTTCTCCTTCGATAATCACGTCAACGTATTCGTAATCCCCTGGTTCATCAGGAAAATGGAATCGACGGTAATCAGAAACAATCGGAATCCAGTTGCCTAATAAAATTCAAATCGAAAGAGAAGAAGAAACGGTCTGGTTCCAGTATTCCTAAATTTTCTCACAAATAACCTAATCGTATGATTTTTTAAATTTCGAACTAGAACTTAATTCTTGGGAGGACGGGGAAACTGATAACTGATATCTCCTTTCTCCCACGAGTTTTAGGGTTTAAAACATGCAAAGAATTGCGTATTCAAGACGGATAGCCCCTTGAATTTAAATTTATGTAAAATTATCGCTTGAACAATAAGAAGAAAATAGATATTTCAGTTTGGAAATATACCAGCCGGATATGAGGGGGACTTTTCCCAGTGAGATTTGCAGATGGAAGCGTCGTATCCGAGAGCCAGCAATCCATTAGTAACAATCTGTCTTGCTAAGTTGTCTTTGCGCTTGCAGACCTTGTTCTTCTCCACGATCCTGGCCGTGTCTGCTAATAAATTCCTCTCGTGAACACTCGTACAAGGAATTAAGCTCTGTCCGAGTATGAAAATGATTTTCTTAGAAGGATTGAAAAAAAAAAAAAAAAAAGATGATCGGTTATATACCTTCAGAAGTTCCCAAGCCTCACCACCGGAAGAAAATTTGGCATCGCCAAAACCACCATGTGAATCCAATTCCTCTTCGGAGCTGTCCGTATAGTTTCCATTGAAGCAGTTGCAGCGACTACGACCACACCTAGACGCACTGAATTGTTTCTCATTGTTGTCCTCTATGAAATTCTGGACCATCTTCGCCAAGCAAATAGAGCTAGGCTCCAACACAGAGAAGCAGTCGGAGCTGTCTTTGTTAACATTCAATTCTTCAAAGTTTGCCTTCTCTGCCGAATTCCTCAGTACGTTATGGAACTGTTTTTCAAATAGTCGCTTCAACTTCGACGACTTCACGGCCGGCTTAACCAGCTCTAACCGAGCTGCTTCTTCGGCACTGTCGAAATCGATTGGCTGGATCTTCATTTGAAATGGCATGATCAGAGAAGCCGTAAGCTCTTCCGAGAAAATTTAAGCACCTCTCAGATACTCAGATCTCAACAACTATTAACTTCACCATTTTCCAAAATTGAAGCTCGTAATCTTCAATTCCTTCGGTTAATTCAAGATTCGAGAACGGACAAGTGTGTTTACAGAAAAATAAGCAAAACAGTATTATGGTAGCAGACGGAAAATGCGACTTCCACAACCTACAGTTCGTTTGAATTCGCCATCGACGACTCTGAAGCGTATCTGATTACAGATTATCAGAAAATAAAATCGACACACAAATCCAGAGTTTTGCCCCCAAAAATTAAATGTACTCGGACAAATTTGAGATATCTAAAAATCAGAAACCTATTCCCTAATAATTATAATGTAGTTTTTCTCCTTATTTTTAAACAGAATATAGAATAACTTCGAAACTCAGCCAAGTAAAGTCGCTTTTGCTTGGGGAAATCAGATACGGTCAGAGTGCCCAGACCGTATCTGCAACGCAACCGAAGATAAGAAACTCTATAATTTCCGGCGAGGAGCGTATTTTCCGGCGTGGCACAGTAGCCGCCGGCCAAGAAAATCAGGGAGACGGAAGGTAGAAATGAACTCGGTTTAAGACTTAAGTACGCTCTCGGCTTTCTTTCAGTGGACGATGGAAGAGAAATGAGAAGTCTTCGGGGTCTTTAAAAAGAAAAATCGGAGGTGCTGACTAGGATTCATGTCCACGTGGAATCCGGCGTGGCGTTAAAACGACATTATCACCCGCAAGGACCACGTGTCGAGCAGTCGACAAATTTGCTTCGTGGCTCTTGCGAAGTTCCTCCACGTTATGTTTGGGTGACGATATTTGGGAAAAACTAAATGCCGAAAATGCCCTCAACAAAAATTCAAAATCACGAGTTTGCCAATGACCCTCATACACGGAGTCGTTCACAACCGCCACATGATCGTGTGGCGTGGGCGAAGGGCAGCTGGAGAAAACCAACCAACCCACTCCGGTGAAATTCTCGTGTCAAAGCGAAATAACGATAATGCCCTCCTTCATTAGGGGAGGCAAGGCTCAACTTAGTTGAAAATTGCGACCAGAAGCCTAATGGACGAGAAGGTTATTATGTCATTTCGATTCATTTAAGGTTTGTGTCGATGGACCATTTATTTATAATAATAATAATAATAATAACGCCAAACGCATACATACTTCTAATTTTCTTCTGTCCCCACGTTATCCAATTCAATTATTATTTTTGCCTTTTTAGAATTTAATCAACCAATAAATCTATTTTTGATAAAACTATTTTACAAAAGCATATTAATCATTTTAAAACAATACAATATAAGATAATAAAGATAGAGGTGTATTATGTTTAACAAAAAAAATTTCTTTTGAAAATTTTGAGATTACTGGAATTAACACTTTAATATGCAATTAAAACTACAGAACTAACAAATAAACTTGCCCAAATTTGTACCAACAAAACATTAAAAAAAACCAAAACCAGCAGCAAAAGTACTGGAACACAACAGAAAATGAAGCAACAAAAAAATAGTCAAATCCACAAAGGCTATAACACCTACACAAATAGTCCTAGTCTTTCTAAGTTGCATGCAAATATTAAAAAGAACAATTCACAAAGTAATTAAATTTTCACCGTCTAGTACTAAAAAAGGAAAAAAAAAAAAAAAAGGATGGACTGGCTAAGTAAAAATAAATAAGAAAAAACAAAAATTTAAATTCAATCAAAATGAAAGGGACATGGTGGTGGGTCCCATGAATGATGAGCATTGAGTAATGGGCTAAGGCTTGGCCCAATTGAAGCGGTAGTGTCGTATGCACAACGCAAAACGACGCCGTTTTGAACATTAGTCATAACTCATATCATATCATATTATATTGTCAAGAAGCGGATAGCATCTACGCCACGCCACGTGTTGTTTGACGATTTTGCAAACCATTCTTAATTAATGTCATTAGTTCGCGATTAATTGTTTTCTTTTTAAGTCTAATCAACCGGAAGATAACTCTTGGTATCTGCACGTAGTTAAAAGTTTAAATCTCCGCTTTCATATATTTTACTAGAAATAATTCAAATTTAACTAAGGCTTACGGGGCTCGAGCCCTCTAATGTTAGAAGATTAGTATGTTATATTAAGCAATAATTTTCAATATCAAATTAAAGAAACTAATATTTTTCTAAATAATTATAAACTAATATTAATATATATCAATACATTCAAAATTATCTTTATACATATTTATTTTTATTTTGAAAAATAATTATAAACTAATATTAGTGTATACCAATGCATTAAAAAATTATCCTTATACATATTTAAGTGCATGAAGTAAAGTTTTGAATTCACCGCTAATTAAATTCAATAATATGTGTGAGTTCACAATTTATTAAAGTCACATGCAATCATTTTTTTCCTATCCTTAATTTTTGTTATTAGTTTAGTTAATAAACTTTGATAACAGTATTCCATAAGTCCCTATATTTTGATAAGTGTTGAATAAGTCTCTAAATTTTTATATTTTGATAAGTGTTGAATAAGTCTCTAAATTTTCAATATTGTGTCAAATCAATATGAGTTTATTCAATCAACTTTGAGAATCATATTCAATTAGTCTCTAAATTTTAAAAAGTATTGAATAAGTCCACAAAAAATTTGAATGTTGTGCTAAATAGGTATTTAAACTTTAAATTATGTCTAGCAAATTTCTTGAACTTTTGTTTCCATATGTAATGAATCTTCGATTCATGATCTATATTGGATACAAGTTTAAGCGGTTTTTCAATATATAGAAAATATGTTAAAAAATAAAAACAAGTAAATAAGTTGGTGCATTATAGGCTATCAATATTCATGGGGTTTTATCTCAAAATCAATTGGTAATGAGAGGAGTAGTCCATGTATATTATAACCCTATGTAAGGTCTCTTCTTTTATCAATGTGGGATCCTTAACATACCCCTCAAGATCGTGGCTCTTTTGGCTCATCGATCTTGGTCGGATCCCATTTTTTTTTGGACCAGATGCTCATTTGAGCTTTTTGAGCTCTAACATCATATCAATATTCATGGGTTCCATCTCAAAACCAATTGACTATGAGAAGAGTARTTCGGCCAAAATCGATAAGCCAAAAGAGCTACGATCTTGAGGGGGCATGTTATACATTGACTACTCATCTCATTGTCAATTGGTTTTGATATGGAACCCCATGAATATTTATATGGTATCAGAGTCCAAAACGCTCAAACGAGCAACCGGTCCAAAAATAGGATCCAGTCAAGATCGATGAGCTAAAAGAGCCACGATCTTGAGGGGACATGTTAAACATGGATTACTCATCTCATTGTCCATTAATTTTGAGATAGAATCGTGATTGATATTGGCATATAAAAAGTAGAATAAGCAAAGTATTCATTTTTCCTTGTTTCTTTTCTTTTCTCTTCCTTTTGCAATAATCTTCGTTTGCTTTCCTTAGTCAAATTTAGAACCGAATATAAGAAAGTTAGTGATGTACGATCACTTCCCCATCTTTCTTTTAAACCAAACACGATTTCACACGTGTCTCTCTAATAATTTCAAAGCCAAACATAAAGTTTGGCATTTATTTCCTTGGAAGTAAACGAATTAATTAAGCCAAAGGCCAAAGCCTTGTTCCATTTATACTTCATCCTTTTGCTTGTTTCTCGAGAAAATCTAGAAAGAAAATAAAGAGATTCCACTTGTTTTTCTTCTTTTCTTCTTTTTTTCTCTCTTTTATTTTTACTCTTTTTTAGATGTTAAGTCAAGTATATAATTTGCTATTGGAGTTAGAAAATTGTTAACTTAATAGAAATTAGCTTAAAGATTGGGTCGCATTACTTTAGTGTTACTGTTTAGAAAATTGTAGACCATAATCTAAATTTTAATTTTATAATGTTGTATGAGCAAAAGATAGGAAAACAAGAACTTCAGTTTTATTATAGTTGTACATGGATTTTATACCTTTTTATCAACATTTATTTTGGTTACTATTGTTTAAATTTGCATTACATTGTATATTATTTTCTTTATCTCTCAATAATCATGGATTTTGTTTCAATTGAAATCTGKCTACACATTTAACTCTCAGATTTATAGAAGATAAGCACCCTGAACCTGAAGTTAGTTCTTGGTCTCAACGAAATTCAAATGTGTACTAAACTCCCGTGTACCTAAGTTTGCTATTACTTCTAATATTTATACGAAAGAGAGAGGTGATTGGCAACTACTTGAAGATCACCTACTTAACACAAAGTGAGACACTCGACGAAGAATCAGTTTAGTGGTCAGTGATGTAGTTGGGCAGGTTTCAACCAACATATACTAAAGTTCAACTTACCCAATTTTAGTTCAGTCATTTCAACCTATGATTCAAAGATTGATCTCCCAAACAGTGTTACGTCGTGTTTAACGACTTTGACTACTTCACCCTTACACATGTCAAGCTACAAACTAATAATAATGTGACCTTACAATATTGAAGGTCATAATAAAACCCATATAGGATGATCATGTACTGCGTATATATATGGGTAGGAAAAAAGGACATTTTTTAGAAGATAATGATGGGATATGCATAAGAAATGAAGGCCATATACACTCGAGAGCTAAGCAGCAAGTGCCAAGTGCCAAGTGCCAAGTGCCAAGTGCACAATGCTACGCGTTTTATTGCAACTTTCTTCATAATTGTTTGCTTCAAGTGGGGACTATGTGACAATGAGGTCTCAATTCCCCACTTTTCAAGTCTCCCAATTTATTAATAAAAAAACAAAAATTCAAACCTTTCAAATTACTTTCTTACCTTGCCCTCTTTTTAATATTGTAACACAAGTTAATTCTTTAAATATTATTATATGTTTGTAAAAATATTGTAATTTTAATTACAGCGGGAGAAAGAGAGACATCATTGATTTATCGATATCAATATACATGAAATTTCATCTCAAAATCGATTGATAAGAGGAGTAGTCATTTATATTATAAACTCTTACCATGTGAACACTTAATTGAATAGTTTGTGCTGATTGGACAAGATTAACTAACGATATTTTAAAGAATAGTTTCGAAATAATTATTATTTTTTTCTTTTTACAATATTTAAATAAAATCCCTCTTTTTTACCTTTTTCCCCTTTGGGTGTTTTTCTTTTGACATTTGATAAAGTGAGATTAAAGCTTGCTATTCAAGGTCTCATCTTGGTGGTTGGCCCTTTCTCTTCCTCTTAGTGAGTTTTACACATTTCTGGGAAAATGTTATTTAATTACATTATACTAAAAAAAAAAACATTTGTAACCGAGTAGCTTTCTCCTAATAGGGTACTTAAAAAATTATCCTAATATAATTATCACTTAACGATTTATTTTTCTTAATTAAAATGTAATTCACTCACTCCCCAATTATCTCTCACGATTATAATAAAGGAAGACCATATCCACATCATAATTGGAGACAACATAAAGATAGAGATTGAGAATATGTTGGATACATTCAAAAATATTTTTAAGTGGGTTTTTTATTTAGTAATGAAAAAAAAACCCCCACAAATGCATGCAAATCCAATTGGCGTATTTATAGTTAAATCTAAATTTTTGAAAAATATAAAGAGATAAATTTAGACAATAATTATAAAAAGTAATTCA